TTTTTTTTTGAAATTTTCAAATTTTGACCCGGCCGGGTTATGAAAACCATTTAATTAATTTTGCATGGCCTTAGATATAATAATATAAGAATATATTATGATTAACTAAAATTAAATGTTGTTATGTAGATTTAAACTGTTACTTCAATAATTATGCTTGTAATAATCTAACTAGAATATATACATGTGAAAAAACTTTTTATATAAATTCAGAATTAAGTTTACATAGTCTTTTCACAACTACGCTTATAATAATCTAACTGGAATATATATATATAATAATTTTATATGCATTGTGATTAACAAAATTGAATATAAGTTAATTTATTTTTTAATCTATATTTTACCCATAAATGTTCAATTATAGAAATCAGCCTATCTGATCATTTTAAAGCATGGATTTTTATGCAGTAAAGTTTCATTAAACTACATTAAGAAGGATCTTCAATTTAAGATTATTACACCAACTGTTTAAAAGGCCTTCGATTAGATCAATGTTAATTAGTAACGATTATGTCTTCATATCCGCGTGTTACTCGAAATATAACTGTTGAGCGTTGTGAAAAATTCTTGTCGAGGGATTTTTTTTCTGACGTAAATTTATATTCACAACTATATAAGAAACGCACCGGGTCAGAAGAGCACATTAAACTTTCTGTGTATAATGTCCCAGACCTCAAGCGAATTACCTTTGAAGAGGCAGTGAAAGCTAAATACAAACCTGCCAAATGTGGTGACACTTTTGGCCCAAGCTGGGTAAGAACTTAAATATACAAAAGAAAGGATATACGTAGTTTTATTACAAAGTCATTGCAAAACAGTTTCTTCAGGCAACGAACTACGTATATAAGTGATTTATCATTATTAACGTTTCCAATAATTAATAATTAATCAATTATTTTTTTCTACAGTCTACTCATTGGTTTCATATCACTGTTTGTGTACCTGATGATTGGAACAACGAAGAGGTTCAGTTTTTATGGGATTCAAGCAGTGAAGGAATGATATGGACTATAGATGGAACTCCTCTTCAGGGTCTTACTGGTGGTTGTGAGTATAAAATTGAAAAGATTCAATCTTAAATTTAAATATTCAAATAATTTAATTTATAATCAAAATCAATCGCATATGTACATATACAGATGGTAACGATCGTAGAGCAGATTATGTTCTTACACGTAACTCAAATGGTGGCGATCAATTTGAATTCTATCTTGAAATGGCTTGTAATGGTAATTAATTTTTTTTTTTTCATTCAATTAGTTTGCACAGTATACTAATTTCAAAAAAAAACAAAAAAAAAACAGGCATGTTTGGAAATGGGATTGGCAGTGATATCAATCCACCTGATCCAAATAAATACTTCACCCTTCGTCAAGTAGAATTAGCTATCCCAAACCAGAATGCTTGGCGGCTTATGTACGACTTTCAAATTATTCTTGATATGGCGAAGGAAATCCCTCATGATACCATGAGGTCAGCACAGGCACTCAATGCTGCTAATAAAATAGTTAATACCTTTCAACCGGGTGATAATAATACTATCCAAGAGGCGCTTAAGATTTCCAATGAATTTTTGAAACACAAAAATGGAAGTAACCAATATACCTTGACCGCTGTTGGACATTGTCATATTGATACTGCTTGGTTATGGTGTGTTATAATATGAAGAATCATAAGAATTATTTATCTTGATAATTTGTTGATTTTGTGTTTGGATTTATTCTAGGCCTTATGATGAGACAAAGCGAAAAGTTGCCCGAAGTTGGTCTACACAAGTGGGATTAATGGACCTTTATCCAGAATATAAATTTGTTTGTTCTCAAGCACAACAATTTGAATGGTTAAAGGAGTATTACCCAAAGCTTTTTAAAAAAGTACAGGATAAATCTGCTACTGGTCAATTCTTGCCCATTGGTGGTGTAAGTACAACTAATTACACTAATTACAAATTTTAATTAATTAATTATTTATCTGGATCATAACTATTTATTTCCATATTTATTTAAAGACATGGGTAGAAATGGATTGCAATATTCCTAGTGGTGAAGCATTTTGTAGGCAGTTTTTATATGGGTATAATTCATTATTATTCTGATTCAATCTTTTTTTTTTAAAAAAAAAAAATCTTCTGTTATCTTCTAAACAACCTATAATAAACTTTAGACAACGTTTCTTTGAAAAGAATTTTGGACATAAATGCAAAGTATTTTGGCTTCCCGACACTTTCGGATATTCTGCACAATTGCCACAAATTATCAAAGCTGCAGACATAAAATACTTTTTTACTCAAAAATTGTCGTGGAATAATATTAATAAGGTGTTTCCTTATTTCATAAGACTATTAGCAAGAACCTTATAATCGAGTTAACACTTTATTATTTTGAAACTATTGTATAGTTTCCCAACACTAGTTTTTATTGGGTTGGGCTAGATGGTAGTAAGGTAAGAAATACTTATTTATCAAATTATATTATTAATCATTAATTGATGCCAATATCTATCCTTTTCACTATTTAGGTTCTGACTCATATGTGCCCTTCTGAAACGTAGGCAATTTGATTTTTTATATTCGTTTTGTTTTCCTATTCGATATCTTTGCAAAATTTTAAGGCTATGCATCTTGATAATATAGATATGTGGCTCAATGCAAACCCGATGAACTTATTAGGAGTGTTAGAAACAATAGGGATAAAGAACTTAACAACAATGAAGGTTTGTTAGTCTTTGGTAACGGTGATGGTGGTGGTGGCCCGCTTGCTTCCATGATCGAACGACTACGTCGATTAAAAGACATTGTAAATATACACATAAAGAGAGTTTTCTTATTTATTGTATTAAAGTATGTAGTAAAACATTATTGATACTAGGATGGTCTCGCCAAAGTGAATATGGGGTCTGCAGATGAGTTTTATGAACGCTTAGAAGAGGGCTCCGCAGAGCTTGTTTCTTGGAAAGGCGAATTGGTAATTGTATCTTCCATTGCTATGAATTAAAGTCATTGTTTTTTCTCTGATAAACGTTCGATTTGTTAGTACTTTGAACTTCATAGGGGTACCTATACGTCTCATGGAAAAATAAAGAAATACAATCGTAAATCTGAGTTACTCTTACGAGATGTTGAAATGCTACACAGTTTTTCTCTTATTGAGAAACAAAACCGTGTGTATGTACTTAATTACGCAAAGTACATTTTTCTTAAATATATATATTAGCACTTTTGACTAATTTTGTTTTTAATAGTTACCCTAAAGATCAATTGGATCATATGTGGAAATATGTGTTATTGTAATTTATCTCTCATCTAATTGTAATATACACATACAATTTTAAAATATTTTCATTTGATTAATTTAATTTCATCATGCTTTAGGAATCAATTCCATGATGTGTTGCCAGGTTCTTCTATTGGAATGGTATACGATGATGCTAATAAGGTAAAGAGAAAAACTGTCATAAAAAGTTATTTATCTATACCACTAATAAATTTAATGTTACTTATTACAACTCAACTTCAGTTTTATCAAGAAGTTGAAAATACAGGTAAATTTACTTTATTAATTTTATATTAAAGTTTTTTCTCAATTAAATATGAACCATTTTGTACTATATTTAACTATGAAGGGGCAAAACTTTTGGATGAGGCTCTTGATACGCTTTTTAAAATATCAGCCACTGCTTCTAGTCCAAACAAAGGTTTGTAATATAAAAATGATAAGGTGGCCAAAATTCAAAATTTATAATTATATTTTTACTTCTAGGGTTTATCGCCTTTAATACGCTTGGTTGGAATAGAACTGAAGTTGTTGAAGTTCCTGTGTGTAGTGGTTTGGATACCTTGGCCCAATATACAGAGG